GACACATTCAACATAAACAGTGTTTCTTTCCCTCTGCGCTATTTGGACAGGTGTGCAACCTTTGAAAAACCCGCTATGCCCTTAGTGCTAACGGTTTATTAATAGGTACATGTAAAAAGTTGCACCTGTTAATAAACCTTATCTCTAACATAACTAAACCTATTTAAGTAGCGTGCGCTGTATAGTGGTGCTGCAATTAAGTCGAAAGTTTTAACTTTTTTTGCGAGCCTTCAGTGTATGTTTGTTTCAAGCATCTCGAAGCGTGCACTAATTAGTATGAATTAGTCGTCTCTTAGAGTTCGGAGCTCCAATATATGCGCTGTATACGTCCTTTAGACAATGCTTTTCTCGGTTCGTCTCGACATGATTCGACGCCCGAGTCAGGTCACAAAATTTGCTAGGAAGTTTACTCGAACTATATATAGCGGGACATTCTGAACACTGCGCTTGCTATCGCGTGCTCCGGAACCGTTTGTCATTGCGGAAGTCGGGAGCTTACGACAATGAAAGGAGCACAGCCAAAAGTCTTCTTTCTACATCGCACTGTTATTCGTTGGCCAATTTCAAAGCTTGTCAACTATACTCACACTTTTTCCTTAGAAACGAATTGTCATTTACACTGGCCTATCTCTTCTGGAAGCTGAACGAGGGAACCAGTCAAAGGAGATGTTATTATCTGCAATACACACGTATTATAAACGTGTTCTAATAGCTACTGCATATGTTCGCCCGATCAAAGAGTCTACCGACACGTATGTTTTCGTTAGAGTATTTACAAATAATTGTCATGTTTCATGCTATTTTTCTAGTCATAGGAAACTCTACAGAGCTCGGGCTATGTTAAGCGTACTTACACCTTAGACTTCCTGAGTCTAGAATCAGAGTCTAGACTAGAATCAGAGAGAATCTTAAGAGAATAAAGCAAGCTTATGTTAATTATCAAAGGAGAAATTAAGGTAGCTTTTATAAATCTGCTTTTTGTTGGACCAAACGCTGAGACTGGAAGACAGATAACATGACATTTTCTCTATCAGAACATTCACGCCCGTTAAGCAGAAACTTTTCCGGAACAACGGAAACAATATGTCATTCCCGCTAACTGGAACACTTGCGGTGGCATCTGTTTGGAACTTCTCTAGCTGCCTGCTGATATGAAAGTGGAAACATTGCTTTGACCGTCAAAAAGGCCGCTGCAAGACTAAGAATAGGTTATAATATAAAATAAAGCACCTGATGTTTTAAAACGAATAATACATTTATACTATTATTCACGAAGAAGCTGAATTCCGATAAATAACCCTTTCTCCAAAAATGAACGAATCGTTTAACCTTCGCGGCGCTGGATAATTGCTTGTGATCCATGTCTATATGGACAAAAAAGCAGGGCCTCTGTTTTTTTTTTGCCAAGTAACGAAATTTCGAGCTTCCGGTAGGGTTGAGAAAGTTCATGCATCAGGCGTTTTACTCGCAATTTCTCCCACATGGCGCAACGAGCTGGCGTTATGTCGATTGTATAAAAAATCAAATTAATTGCACACAAAGGCTCGGATGCAGAATGTCTGTCGAAACCAAACACGAAGTAAAGCTCAAGTTTTCGAGACAAATAAGAGTCTATCGAATACAATCTATATCTTAGAAAGCCGTTGACCGCAATCACAGACGGGAACCAAGGTTCTCCTTAGGGGTTCCTTCAGTGCCGACGAATCGTTCGACACAAATTTATGTCGTTTGGCTTCGTAGTTATCAAACAATAGAGTCAGTAAGTTTTAAAAAGGTTACGCGAATCTGTCCGACGTAAAAAACCAGAATGATACAGAAGCATGGTACAACAAGTTAGGGTCCTCAATTGCGACAATGTACCGGCTCGCACCTTGCTACTCGTGCTGTAGTTTTTGCGGAAAAAAACTCAGTGCGTGCGTTGCGATAGCTCCTATGTTGACCGGACCGAGCCCTTATGGCTTTTTCTTATTCCCAAAACTAGAGAAAAGTTGAACATTTTTCTTCTTTGTTTCTTTTTTTTTTTGGTCCAATAGAAAGGATGAAAGTAGAATAGCTAATCGAGCTAGGGGCTATCGTGACGCTCGAGTTTGACAACTCTTTTAAAGACTGGGAAAAACGGTGGTGTAAGTATGCTGCATTTGGCGGGAATTAGAGTGGGAGAGCTTAAATTGAGACGACTAAATGAATAGCTACCAGTCTGAAACGAACGACTTACTTTTGAATAAAGAGGTGCGTTTTCATGTTACGTAAAGGATGACACATTTTTTCACTAGCGAATTCAGTGAAGTCCAGTATTTTTTAGATGTATGTGAGATAAACACAACCCCGATACACAGCTATTCCAAATTTGCTCATAAATTCTATAAACTTTAAACCATGAATTGTTTACGGCTGATTTTTCTTCTAACGACTCTTCGCCGCGTCGACCACTTTTTTAGGGGAAATGATTCAGATTAAGCAAATATCTCAAGCAAAATTGTGTAAGATCTGATCGACAATTGTCAATAACAACCCCCGTAAAGTGTCCCAGATTTTTTTATCTTCATCGATACAATCTTAAAAGTAAAATGATCTACCTTCGATCCCTTAACGCGACCGAACTGTATAAGGGATGAAAAACTGTAAAAAATTTATTGCAATACGGAACGTATTGGGATTTTATACAAGGACAACAAGTTACAGATGTTAAAGGAGAACATATTTAAACTTTCATAGTTTGCAAGGAAATAGGTTACTCTATATTTTAGAGGCTAGGTATACACCAACAAGAGGTACCCGAACTCCGAGAGTTTCACGGGTTTCCTTGCATGAAGATGGATAGGGAGGTTTTGTTTGATACGTTAGAAATGCCAGCACCGTTATCAACCCAGTAAAAGTTGCTACAAGTCGTTTGGGTTGCAGCCAGTCGTGGAGCTCAATTTACTTGCTCTAAGAATGCCAGCTTTTGAGGCGTGCATTTCAATAACCGCTAAATACTCCCCAAATCAATGTTAGTTTATGTGTCTGGGGACCTACTAGTATGCATCAAGCTGCATTTGGAAATGGGCAAGCTTTTTTACCATATAAATTTTACCTATACAAAGAAAACTCTCTTTCATAGTGCAAGCCAGCTTTAAGTGATGCAGTTACTGCGCAATGATCAACAACAAGACTGACAATGAATCATTGCAAGTAAATTTTTATGAGAAGAAATACGGTGGAATTGGCTTTGCCCTGTTTGGGCCTTGAATGAAGCTATCATTAGCACTTTGTCCATGAGACAGTATCTGCTGAGATTTTGGACGTAAATATATATATGTTGAAATTTTGTAAGGGAAGGACTTATTTATAGATCCTATTTAAATTGTTGTCTCCATCGCGATAGACTCTTGCGTGTCTTGAACCTATCAAAGTTTCATCTTCTGTGAATTCAATATTGATCTGAGCCGGAGGATCAACGAAGATTGGAATGGAGTTTCGTGCTCCGTAAGAAAATCGCCGAAGGTTGCAAAGGGCAATATTGGAGGAAAGAGAAAATTGTCGAACCATTTTTAGCTCCCCCAGCCGTTCGTTATTTGGGGCAAGATTTGCTTGACAGCAGAGGCCTAAATCCATAGAAGGATGACTAGCAATTATAAATGAACAATTTCAGATAGCTCAATTATATAGAAGACTTTGAGAGGAGTTAGCGGGAAAAACGTCGGAGAGGATCTCCATGACATGATTCGGTATCGATTTCTAGCGAAAAAAATGGAGTTGGGCATGGGAAAGACTCAAAACACTTGAAACACTATCTTTAATTTTACAGCCTGAGAAGTGGCATACACTTGTAGCGTCTGTGCAATTATATTATTCTTTGAAGTTGAGCTGAGGCTGGTTTGGCCTTGTGCAAGACGTTGTTTTTTCTACACTTCTGACCAGGTTTTTCCCTACAGAAAACCTGGAAGTTTCCGCATTTTATTCTAGACTACCGATAACAGTCATGAGACGCCAGTATTGAGGCGGGCTTTTGAAAACATGGTGCGAACCCTTTGGGACATGCTGGCTGCTTAGAATAAGTCGATGGAAAATTGGTGGAATATACCATTTGCTCAGATAATGCTTGTTTGTGGTCATTTTCAGCAGAGACTAGTAGTATGTTCGCAAAGCAAAAATTTGTGGCTCATCAACAAGTTCGTGTTCTTTAAAGTCGCGTCCGAAGCCTACCCGAATTTTATAGACATAGCGTTCTAACTTACTTCGCATTTGACAGACAATTGGATGAAAGTTAACTTTACTCAGTCGGGTATCACTAATCCTTCCTGAGTTAGCGAGAGCCTTTGCTTACACGAATGGATCTCGAGTATATCGGCGTCCAATTCGGTCATGCGTTGAACATTTTGCGCCGAACGAGAAACGACACAAACCAAACCTACCTACGTTTGTCGGGAACTCACATGAAATTGGCAGCAGCAGCTCGAAAAAGTATGCTTCTCGTCTCTATCCACATAAATATTTTCCGCTACCATGGAACATATTTAAGTAGAACTTGCTACAAAGCAATATGAGTTACGAACTTACGACTGGCGTTCTAGATGACTAAGAATGATGCCAAATGTGCCTAGACAGGAATCAAATAGGTAGCCGTAGAAAGCACCTGGTACAAATAAAACAACAACAAGCTAACGCGAATAAAACAAACAAAGAGGAAAGGCTTTAGCATAAATCCTAAGAGAAATAACCTATATGTGTGAAGAGTGGCGACGACCGTGTTAACGATGACGGGGAAAGTGACGAGCAATAGCACTTAATTACACCTCACGACCTACTTCTAGCGATTACTAGTGTGAAAACTCGTTACATAGCGGCTATGCAGCATTAAAGCGTTGTGTCTTCTCGATATGGCGTGAATTTCTTCTAGATGTATGTTGAAACTATGTTCATGTCATAGTTTAGAGCTGTAGCAAGCAAGAGACAGAGTAGAAATTAAGACAGAATATTCTCTTGCTTTATTAGGAGGCTTCACATACGTTTGGCATGATTCTCACCAGACCTTCGTTGTGATTTTGATTCCTATTTCTTCAGAGCCCTTGAGCGGATATCACATGCGCAAAAATCCCTGAACATGTCCGTCAAAACTTGCATACAGTTATAATAAAACGTTCACAAGGTTCTTTGAGTATGAATAGTAGGAAAGATCTTATGCTGTCCGCACTTGTACTCTGTCTGAAGGATCCTATGTTAAATCGTCGATGCACAACAGAATAGTAGAGATAGCACTATGGACTTCCGTCCTCGATATGTTTTCGTTGTCACAGTTCAATTCAATAATGAACGTAATAAAGTTAGAAGGTACATTGTATTGTCAAAATGATCGCAGTTCCCCTTCTGCCACTTTTCTCCCACAAAGTTCAAGTGGTTCAACTTTTGTACCGTTTAAAACTCACAGATCACTGAAGTTGATTCGAGCAATCCGTCGTTATAAGAATGTCGTATCAACGGTACTTCCAACTATCACTTCAAATTGAAGATAGCGTATTTGCAACTATCTTTACTAACAAATCGCTTATTTAATTTCTTTTAAAAACAGTCCTTCTATAACCTCATGATGCTCCGGTAGCTACTGAGGCATCTGGAGAATTCACCGGCTGTCAAGAAAATTAGAGCTGACAGTTAAATGCTCAGGAGATACTGAAAACATACATAACAATATATAGATATATGTTAAAAATAACTTTAAAAAAAATGCATTATCATTGTGCTGTTTTTTCTGCTACAGAAAAGTTAGTGAATGGGGTGCAGTAAGGTGCTTTCAAGGAGACTGCTCGCCCACAGTTTCAAACTACGAACATCCGTGATTTTTAGTCATTACGCATTCGTTAATACCACCAGCGATATATTTAAGTCACAAAATCTGAACATCTTGTCAATTTAACAACAAAACGTTAAGAACGTCACTATTCGAAGGCAGAAGGACTTCGATGATATAGGTCGAAGAGTTCATAGGGATGCACATATTCTAAAAATAAATTATATTGCCTCTAGAGCTTCATTCTGTATGGGGAGTAACTGCATTTGGTGGTCCTTTAGCGGGCGGCAAGCTTCTTGCGATGTTTAAAAAGAGCCAATCGGCCCTAGCTTGAGCTGTTTATTATGATACTCAGTATACTCTCATAGGTTAGACAGCTTTTCAGTATGCTTATTGATTCATTTGTCACTTTCTTTACTTGGACTCTCAATAATCCTGGCGGAAGTAATTTGCGTCAAATATTACAAAGCCAATGAACATCTTCTTAGCAACGCACCTATTATTTTTTTTTTCTATTTCTCCCTCTAATCTGTTGTAGGCTACATCGAAGATTGTGGTAACAATTGCTCATCATTTTAAACTCTAAAATGTATACTGGTTGGTAAAATCTAGCAGTGTCCAGCCAAAAGGCGAGATCTACGCTGAGCTCTTTATGTTGTGTTGCATATCGCTTACCTTGGTAGAACTTTTTCGCCTCCATAGAGGGACAATTGCTTGTTGAGAAAGTTTCAGAAGCGTCGACGTTGTCGCTATCGGCACTTCCACGGTTATGCGTTTTCTCTACGCGGTCGGTATGTATCAAATCAATGTTAGTCCTGATAGCCCTTTTATGCAGAGGCTGAGGAGGTCGAAAATTGTTCCCTAATGGAGCCATTGGTGATACAGTATCCCCCTGCTTTAATTTTCGCATGACTGCTAGCTGTTCAAAAAAAATAATAAGGGATAGATCGAATTAAATGTTGGTGGAAATTGAGTAGGACTCTGCAAGAGAACCTGTTGTAACGCTTCACGCCACAGCATGCGTCTTAGCCCACTCATTAATTTCCCGTTCAGTTTATACGTCTACAAAACATGCATGTACCTTTGATTATTAAAAACTGCTTTTAGAATTTTCTAGAAAAGGAGCTGAACAAACCAAAAATATCAGGATTTGGCCATATGTAAGCGCATCCACACGCTTATCGTAATAAAAGTCAGTGTGGAAGTTTTATATTCCATTAAAGAGCACATTTAAATTTAAGAAGGGACGCTCATTTTACGCTTTGAATAATACATATGCACAAGAAGGCTCAATTAGTCATACACCTGTGTTAGATAAAACATTCAGTGAAATGTTCACCCACCCATTCAATGGAATGCGTTTAATGGGGCTCTTGGCAGTTGACTCACAACTTACCTGTTGCGGTGACATGTACAAAGGTCTGTTGAGGAGTATCCACGTAGCTGTTTCTTCACATCCTGGCGCTGTTAAGGATCCTTCATACGTGATAAGGGCTGAAGTGGGGGGCAACAGTTCGTGAATGGAAAGGGTCTTCAGTGGAACGCTGTCACCTTTATACGTGATATGTTGTAACTGATCTGTGAGCATTTTAAGCTCTAAGTTAGGTTTGGACATTTTTGATTCTTTTGGGAAGCCTTGAACACCTCGGCCAAGCGCTTCTTTCGGATGCGTGACCTTAACAAATATCGACACCACAGCAATTCCGTGGGCCCGGCTTCGAGCCTCAGATGCGTTGTCATACAGCTCATTGTTGTACCCGTAAATCTGAATCTGTAATCAACGATAACATAAGTAATTCAAATTACTTTGATGAGAGGCAACCGTAGCATAGAAATATAGAGAATCTCAATGCATATCACAGGATCTTTACATAATCTTCGGTATTGAGATCTGTAGCAGAGACACAAGGAGAATACTGAGGTCTCTTCTGGTGTCGAAACCTTACCTCTGCGGGGAAAGCGATGCCGGCAAGAAGGTGCTCTGATCCCTGATGATCTCCTCGGCCAAAATGCAACTGTATTTCGTAGACTCGATATGAATACGAGAGGGGCCCTCCGCTAATATTTACGGAAGGTATATAATCGTTCCTTGCAGTTCCTGTTAGCCCATGGTCGGTCATATGCCCTGTAGTATCCGACTGAAGACCAAGGGTTTCTCCAGCTGACGTGTCAGGGGTTTCTAGACGGAATACAATTCCTTGCCCGGTATTGTGAAGAACTCCACGTACTCGGGCCTTGCTAACCTGCAGGGCCAGTAACTGTGGATCGAACAGTAGTCTCTGGGGTTCAATATTGATCGGTGACTGACGGCGACCTGTGCTGCATAGGCCCCATAATCCTGGGTTTAGCCGACCCCAGAAGTCCGGCCCTATGAAGTACGATGAAATAACATTCCGAGTTGCAACGAGCCACATTGAGGACTATTTCCCTTGCAGTCTTAAATTAACGTTATATGAACATGTAGATAATTTGCTTTTTTTTTAGCGGTCGATTTAGATTTTTAGCAGTCGTGCAAACAGAAACGTTATGCTCTGAAATCCCGTTTCGAGACCACGACCTTAAAACGCAGTTGCGTTGCATATTGCTTTTGCAAACCCCCGATTTTAGGTATGAAGCTACTCTTTACTAGGACTTTAGCTGAAATTCCTCGGAACCACGCTACAAGCTGTAGCGTCTATAGAGTTGTAGAGACTAGTTTGGAAATATTTCGAATAGCGACGTAATAGTATCTTAGGTAGTCAAACACGTAACTGCATGCCCGTTTTTATGACGATCCCAAACGGGTTTATATGATCATTGACTTTATCTCAGCTAGAGATGGACTCCGAAACCTAATGATTGTAAATTAAACGCCTGAAATATATTCATTTCGTGAAGTTCTAACAAAACAAACTTGTCATCCACTGAAAAGCAAACGAAGTATCGAAGTTATTCACTTTCTCACATGTTCGTCACGAAAATACGCGTACCAATAACATCTTTTTATATTTGTGAGAACTTCCACCTCTCCCGTATGAACCTTAATATCGTTATACGAGCAGTTTAGCAGTAGGTTCATTAATAGGTCTGCTCTCTTGACCGCTAATAATATCTTCCCTAAGTTTAGCTTCAGAAAAGATCCCGCTGCATAAATGTGTCTGCAAATACCTGGCAAATCCGGCACATCAGAGAAAAACCACTGGGCATTTGTTTTCCGTCCAAGTTTATTATTTTTTTTGTGAACTAGTACAACGGTAGGGTGATTACCTGAGATGCCTTCGTATGTCCACCAATCATTCCAGTTTGCGCATGAACCTGAAATAAATTAAGCTTTTTATTGTTAAGGTCTACAAACAACTAGAACACACATGCTATTTCGTCAAGTTTTCAGATGAAACAACTTCGTAAACTTTAATACACAGAGAAGTCACTAAACATGGAGACCTCTATCAGACATCGGAGAGCAAAAAATTATATACACCTAACTGTTCACTGACTAGTAAAGTAAACACCAAACCATTAATCATTCGTCGTAGTATCAAACTCACCGCTGATAAACAGCACGAGCAACGTCACACTGGAATTGATCAAATCCATTTGCTACCTGCTTGATATTAGATAGACAATGGGGTAGTTTTGCTGTTTTCAATACATGTTTTTCATCGTTCCACAAAACTTTCAGTTGTCCGAAATAGTTCTCGTTGTGTGTGTATGCACAAAATTATCCGGTGAATATACCCACGCGAAGTACCAAAAAACAATTGTTTAACTTAAGCATCCAAACTTCACCAAACAACATCACAATCGTTTCAGAAGGGAGCGACTCCTTGTCCTGTAGCTCGAAGCATGGGTGTGGACGATGTCATGGCTGGCTTGTGTAACTTGCCCTGTATCGCTCACTCCTGGGCCCGCCTCAGTGACTTACCCTTTCCTTCAGGGGCGGGACCTTCTGTTTTCTGTCTACTAGCCCTGAACAAGCCTGCTTTGCGTTTTAGTCTGTGGCTTGCGAGGATAGAATACCACTGCGATACCTCTCCTTGACGGAATCGTGAAATAGTGTGTTTTTGGCCTATAGAAACAAACTAAATCTTACCTTTTGGTAAGGGCTGAAACCTCTTAACATTAACATCTTTTATAGCATGCAGTACTTCCTCTGACACAATTAAGATCAATCCGCCAAGTATATGATCCGAATTTTACTCTCGTAAGGTATATTTTCTACCATTCTGTTGCTGGAAACAGAATTTCAAGAGAGATCAATTCGAACAATTTTACACCTTTACTATTTTAGCGTAAATAGCAAGTGAGATTGTTCATCAGTCTACACAAAGACCTGTTAGCGCAGATCAGCAGCGTCTGTCAGTATTTTTCGTATATCTAATAGCAATTGTTAAACAATCAGTATTAAGCCCTATATACAATCAAGGGATGGTTTCTTCCACTTGAGATACGTTTGAAACTATGATGGGTTATGTATTCCCACAAAAACTTAATGTCGTTGGTTAATATACATGATATTTTTTGCTCATACTAATTTGACCATAAACTTCTTGCTATATTTATGATAGCTGTCGTCTCAAAGAATGTAAGAATATAGTAAGAACCCCAGTCGTACATGTTCGGTCTTTTATGCTTAGTGATCCTGGTTTAACTGTTCTAACGTGAGATCCCATAGAATGAGTGTACCAGAGTGAACTCACTTTAGAACAATTGAATTTACATATAAATGCCTTTAGTCTATCAAGGATTGGCCTGTGATGTAAAATATCGAAATCTTTTTTGCGTATATTTCAATACGAGCAGCTATATGCATGATATTAGGTAAGTCTCGATACGATGTCCTTCGGTCTCTTATCACTTCGCTTCTCTTACCTCTTGTGGTACGAGAATATTAAATTGAATTGGCAACGTTTACAGGGGGCTCCTTATGTCAATCAACGATTCAATAGACAGAACGCAAGCTCGCTTAGTAGGTTTTTTGAAGTCCTCGTATCGTTCACATTAGGTCACCAAACGCCCTTTTATGGTAAGGAGGAACTTCAAACGGGGAACTTTTCGTGATGGTTAAGCGTGATATAGTTATTGTGATTGCGTTGAAGAACGGATTAAAGCGGACTAAAGAGCGCTTTTATGGGCTATACCCGGCCAGTTCTTCAAAAACGTTCCTTCTATCTTTACAATAAAGAGTAAGGAAGAAGTGATGTGGCTCACACAACAGACGCTTTCCAGATAACGAAGTGGGCACTCACAATCGCCAAAATCGACAGCGGCAGTCGTCAAGATAGACACTTTCACAAAATAGAAACGAACCTTCTTTTGACCCATTTTTTAACCCATTTGAACCCATTTTTTAATACATAGCTTCTAAACTAACAAAGTAAGATTTATTTTTTTAATCACACCTGCCATGTGATAAATATCTATAATGAAGCTTGCACCAGAAATTATATACTGAACAAAATAAGACAATGACAGGTCGACATGTATGCCCCTATGCATTTATATTTTAATGTTATGATATTAGTGATAATAGTAAAAGCGTCATCGCATATCGCTGGGTCCAACTTCACCTTTGTCGAAATTAACGTTTTATCTAATAGGTCGCGCTCAAACTTCTTGCCAGTTACTGATACAATTATTCATTTCATCAAGGGAGTACGATCGGGTCTGCCTCATATCAGAAGTCGTCGACTGCATGATAAAAAATCCCGGGATCATAAATCTCGCTCACTTCCTTTAAGGATTCGAGGCTATTTTCCTTCTGCGGCTGTATCGTAAATCATTTGTTAGAAAGATTTTCGCTTCTTGGGAATCGTTCGTTTGATAGAGGATGGAGCTGTCAGCTGCCACACACAGTGGTGGGTAGCACAGTCGCCAACGTACAACGAGTATGTATATTTACGACATCGATGTAATACGAATATATCTTGTCCTGCTAATCGACTAACCCCAGATGCAACGGAGATGACAGTCATATTTAGCAGAAGCAATTCATCTTATATTTACTTATATGCACAATTTTTGGGAAAAATCTTTTTGTCAGAGATCTCTTTTTTAGGAGAGCGTGGAAACTCGTTAACGATGATTCGATACAACCCCTCCACGGTTATGTGAAAGTTACCCAGTTAAAACTTTCACAATCGTTACGGAAAGCTGATCTGCAAACGATAGGTAATTCAAAATGCCGGGCCCAAACGCTACATTGTCTCTTCCCCTTATAAGCCTTTAGACCAAGTAGGCTATAGCATTTACGTGGCCTACAATTCATGCCGCTGATGGAACACAAATGACACACAAAAATAGCATTAATTACAGTGAAGATTTGATGCGCGTTACGTTAGCTCAGGAAGAAAGATGATGTGTCAGCTGCTCCGGTCGCCTAACTTAACGAGTATTTTGACATGTCAACTAGATAAACTAACTAATTTCACCTTGGTGAGGTTGCCCACCCCATCATCCTTTTTCAATTGCCGCAGGCTATCTTTTGAGCTCTGAAGTGCGAGTCATCTTTTCGTTTCTTCTTTCTGCTTTTCTCTCTCTGACCCAGTGGCCCAAGCGAAGTTGACACAAGTCACCAGTCAGTAGTTCTTCATTCTCTCAGAAGCTAACACAGTGTCGCACTTTTCCTCCTTTGTCCAATCTGTTTGTATGGACTTGTTTACTTTTGTTTCGTTATTTGACAAACAGCACATAGCAACTGGAATGATGATGCAAACACCATGGTCGAAAACTTTGCACCTTAGCCTATCGAGACTTCCATTCGAGAGTAATTGTAAATTCAATTTTTGTGAAGTAGCTATTTTACTAAAGCTAAATAATCTATTTCATACCTTTAATATTGACCCGCATCGAACAATACGTTAATAATTAAAAAAAAAACGAGTCGTTCTTGGAGAAGTCTTGGTAGGTGCTCTACGATGGCCGAATGTCGCGCTTGTCTGAGTCTATTTAAATATACAACGTAGAAGCTCTAGAAGTTTTGCTTAAAACAAAAACCAAAAGAAAAATGACAAAAAAACGGCGGCATCTGATCAACACATGATTTCGTCTATGAAATATTTTCCTAGTTCTTAAAACCTTGAGAAGTACCTAAACCATTGACATTCGTTAGTTATGATTCACCACATGTCTCCGGACTCCAAGTGAGGCTCGAATTGGTCTGTATGTTCTGTCACCATAGGAGGTAACGTTTCCGTCCCCAGTTGACAGAGCCTAGGCGAGAGAAAGTGACTCGTGTAGTCTCAATGGTGGTATGACTGTCCGGGCTCACTGATTTCACAGACGGAAGGGTCAAACGGAAGTGCTTGGACAGCACATTATCTCCGTATCCACTATCCTGACAAAACAGGACCCATGCGCCGTATTGACACCCCTTACCGTTAGCCAGACCAAAAGAACTCATTCGTAGTCCCACCGATTTTAGCAATCAGTACACATGACCTCAATAAACTTCCTTGCCAGAATAGCTTCGAAGTCGCATAAGGGGATATCAGCCAACTGGCATCAAACTTTTATATAATATTAGAGATAAAAAAAAAAAAAAATTATAAATATTAAGTTAAACAGCCGTAAGTTATTAATGATGAATAGAAAACAGTGCTAGCAGAGTGAACACGAGAAAAACGGAGTATTTATAAGATCCACTTTATTATGAAGTCTATTGTAAGTGGTAGCCTCTTCGGACATACCACTGCATAGCCTATTATTAGACTTCAGATTAAAAGGTGTGAGATAAAGCCAGTTAAGAGTATCAATTGTTTGTTTTTGCAGTCAATGGCGGGTAACGAATGGTCGAAGACGGACAGCTGTCCTAATTTTCGGTCGATTTTTTTCAATGGTTTGGTAAGATCTTATTGCTGGTTCGAATAAACCATTTAGTAACAACTGTTGCAACAATGCAGGACCCTTTTCCGATCTGATCCAACAGGTAGGATCATCTCATCTATTGACGCAGATCGTAGAGCTATTTTTTTTTTTTATTTACACATTATTGTCGTGCAATATGTACAATGTCATATGTGAACTGTTTTTCATTCATGTCGCACCCAAACACTGGGCTCTTTGCTAGCCCACTGTTTCCACATGGCTTTAAACTAACTGTGGACATTTACTTCCGTTGCTCTCTAAGTCCACTACTCACACGTCATTGTTGCTCAGCTCTCGAGATCATTTAATAAAATTTTTCCATAATTATTTCTAGTAACGTTTCTGACTCGTAAGGAGCGTTCATTTTTCTATGGCCTCTGCAGAACTTGTGCCTTCATCGTAATTAGGTTGCAAGATACTGGAAACTTTCGCAGAAGTATTTCATCTTCAAGGCCCTCCTTTTTGAGTCCGAATGAAATCATTCCAGCAGTTTTATCACATCTATTACTACCAAATCTTATCTTTTAAATGATGCTAACTCCAACCCGATGCGACTCATATCATCTGCTATTAGAGCTATTTAGTTAAAAAAAAAAAACTGTCAATAATTTTTTCGTTTCATTTATTTAAAGAACGTCTTTTTTGATATTTCTTACTTGGGAAAAAGTTATCAGTCATTCTTATAGCAGCAAAATCTTAATGCTATCGGTTTAGCCTGCAGTCGTTGGCGCGTCTTGTAAAAACTGCCAGGTAATAACGTAACTGATAAATAGAATGGATTCTTAATATTTTCTTTTAATGTTATTTATCGTCCCACTTTTCCATCTGTTGAAGATGTATACACAAATGAATAGGTGTTATGTTCATTTGCTCGTTACTATTTGGTTGTTTTTACTATATGACGCAGGCCCTCGAAGGTTAGGGTCTCCTAAATTATTTTTTGTT